GCTGGACTTTCTTTTCGGGCAATTGCAGTTAGAGTGCAAAGAAGTGTAGACACTGTGGTTAGGTGTTATCAGGCATGGCTTCGAGAAGGCCGTACGCAAAGAGCAAGGGGCACTGGACGCCGCCGTAGAACAACAGACCGTGAAGATCGCCGCCTAAGATTACTGGCCTTAAAGGACCGTTTCTCCACTACCAGGTCCATTGCAAATGGATGGTTTGCAGAACACGGAAGACCTATTGGCATGCGAAGTGTTTACCGACGAATGAGAAGTTTTGGCTTGTTTTCATACCGGCTACACTGGGTCCTCCCTTTAACTCGAGCACACCGACGTAATCGCCTTGAGTGGTGCAGACAACGGTCACTCTGGGATCAGGAATGGAACAGTATTGTCTTTAGTGACGAGTCTCGATTTTGTTTAGGCATGCACGATGGTCGTGCCAGGGTTAGAAGGCGACGTGGTGAAAGGAGGAATCCACAGTTTTTTGTTGAAAGACATGTTCATCACACTGTTGGAGTTATGGTTTGGGGTGCTATAGCTTATGGTTCCAGGTCACCTTTAATCTTCATCAGAGGTAACATGAACGCGCAGCGTTATATCCACGAAGTTCTATAACCCCATCTTTTACCCTATCTTGACACCCTGGCAGATCCAACTTTCCAACACGATAATGCCCGACCACATGTTGCAAGAGTCACAATAGACTTCTTTCAACATAATGATGTCACATTGTTACCATGGCCACCAAGATCTCCCGACTTATCCCCAATTGAGCACGTGTGGGATATGATGGGTAGGAGATTGCTCAATTTGCAACGTCCTCCTCAGACTCTAGAAGCACTTCGAGAGGAGTTGGTGGTTGCCTGGAATGAGATACTACAGGAGGACATTGACCGCCTGATCAGAAGCATGCCTAGGCGCGTTGGAGAATGCGTAGCACATCAGGGTGCATCCACACATTATTAAAGGTCAAAGGGCTTTAAAGCAGTGCAAGCATTTTGAAATTTTTATCATTTACTTATTATGCTTCATTAAGTACTTATACAAAATTTTATTAAAATCAAACCATTTAAACTGGGTGTTCGGATTTATATGTCACTTAGTGTATGTTCACAAATTTCGAAATTGAAAGTGCATCTGTTCTTCGCACTCATATTTCCGATCACAATACTCAGAAAATCAATTTCTTTGCAGTTCCAGTTACAACGTCAAATCGCACGTATAAAAGAATTTTTTCAGAAGCTAACAAACAATACTTACTTTGGATTGAGGGGGTGCAGGATATTGGAAATATAAATGAGCGATGAATTGTATTCATGAATAATTTCATATTTATTTTTAATCACTGCTTTCCTTTGAAACGATTTAGTGAGAGTGGTGTGAGGAAACATGAGTGTAATGAAGAGATTACAGAGTGCAAAAATAGACTGGATATTCTGTTGACACTATGTAGAGTAGATGGTGATTATAAAGAAATTAAAAATAAACACAAAAAAAGAATATGACTATTTGTTGAAGAATTCCAAATCAGAAAGATACTATCAGAAAATCAGAAATTCGGACAATAAAAGTAAATCTATGTGGACGACATGTCAACAAACCACAGGTCAAAACAACCGTAAAGACATTCATATCAAAGGAGATCCAAATCTGATACCACAGCAGTACCATGAATACTTGTTATCAGCAATTCCGGTTTTACTGAAAGATGTGACACATTCACCTTTTGACTGCGATTTACAAGAAAACTACCAATCATTACACTTCAGACCAATGACTGTTGATGAAGTGTGTGAACTAAAAAATAAATTCAGCTGTGGTATAGATGAAGTTCCAACAAAAATGGTAAAACTTTCCATTCCAGTTTTAAAACATGTTTTGTGCTTACTTATTAATACTGGTTTTAGATAAGGATCATTCCCAGAGAATTTGAAAATAGCTGTTATCAAAGCAATTTTTAAAAAAGGTAATCCAGAGCAATTAGAAAATTATAGGTCAATCAATATTTTAACGGGTTTTTCAGAATTATTTGAGTTACGCATCAGTAAGAGATTATTAGAATTTATGAATATACATTTATTTAATACACATTAGCATGGATACCTCCATGAGAGATCAACAGGTAGTGCAATCTTTCAATTTGTTCAAACAGTACTTAAGCAATTAGAGAAGGGAAACTTAGCGGTTGGTTTCTACCTGGACTTGTCCAAAGCTTAGATAGCATTGACAGAGATATATTGTTATTAAAGCTACAAAGATATGCTGTAAGTGGAACCGCGCTAGAATTGTTCAAGTCGTACCTCTGTAATAGACAACAGAGGGTTGAAATTGTTAAAGGAGGTCAAACTTACAAGTCACACATTGAGTTGACTTCAACCGGCATAGCACAGGGTAGTACTTGGGCCCATTTTGTCTGTAGCTTTTTTAAACGATCTCTGTTTTGTTAATAATGGTGATGAGAGCAAGCATACAATTATCTGCTATGCTGGTTACACAAATTTAGTGTTGGGCGAGACAAGTGTAGAGGACCTAACTGCTAGTGGGAATCTCTTGATCAGTAGTGTGAATACATGGTTTTATGAGAACAAACTAGTGCTGAATAAATCCAGAACTGATGCAACATTATTTAGAACTAAGCAGAGTAAAATCGTTAAGCCACAATGTATTGATATAGATGATCATCAACTGCAGTTGAGTGAAAGTGTAAAATTCTTAGGCATCTTAATTGATGAATTTTTAGATTGGACAACATATTCGAACTGCTGAAGAGGCTCAATTCCATTAGCTATGGTTTTAGGGTAATATATCAAGATATCTAAATAATACGAGTATGAAAATATTATACCATGCTAATTTTGAAAGTGTTCTAAAGTATGGGATTATTTTTTGGGGGCGCAATAGGTTTATTAAAAAAAAATTTTGTTGTTCAAAAAAGACCAGCAAGCTAAAGGGACTAAATTTCAATGAAAACTGAAAAAATCATGACTATGTATGCCCTCTGTGTATGAGTGTCTTATATTTTTTTCAAAAATAAAAATTTATTTGAGCTTGAGTGGCAAGCTGTTTATGATACTCGAACAGTCTATGTTAATTATCCAATACATAGATTATCCTCCACAGAAAAAAGCCCTATTTACATGTGTTTAAAATTTTTGAACAATCTACCAAATGATATTAAAAACATAAACAGTATACATAAATTTAAAAATACTATTAATCAATTTTTAGTACAGTCCTTATACAATAGATGAGTTCTATGGGGGTTGTAATAGTTTCAGATTGTAGCTGTTTCAAGATCAATAACCATGAAACACAGAAAAAGGTCTCAGGTAAACTACTATAGTTATGGTGATAGTGAAGCAACATTTCATTTTGTAGTGGCTATACAATTTTTGTACTGTCATTGTACAATTTGAAGTATAGATTATTATTATTATTATTATTATTATTATTATTATTATTATTACCTCTTTTTCAAATAACTTTTTACCATTACAAGAACTGAACTAATCTAGAAGAAAATTAGACGCCATTAATCTTGGAAATCTGTCTGTTTTGAGAATTATATGGACCAATAATCATACCTACAAAATATTTGTATATTAAGAGTTCAAATTATTTTGTATCCTGAAATCATTTCAGAGCAGTCTTAGGAAACAGATTTGAGAAGTGTAAAACTTACTTATTGTTTCAATTCCAGTGTGAGCATTTGTCATCAGTATAAAACCATCCTCATACATTTGGCACCAGTGGCGTGGGTAAATAAAAGGGAAATAATATGACGATTTCGAAATTACGAGAGCACTTACTCTTAGCTTGAATACAGTCAAAATTTATTACAAGACACATATACAACATTGTATCCTATATTATTGACCATATCTACCCATATAGCGTGATCGATGCTAAGCCTCGCTCCTGGCAAATTGCGATTTTTATTGACATTTAAAGGTATTTACTTCCATAAAAACCCTCAAACTCCACCATAAACCATCGTAATTAGCCAGCATTGGAATAATGACCGGCAATTTGAGGCGTACGGGAACTGTGGGGCGCAGTGTGGTGAGGTACTGCGGCGAGCGCAACTTTTTACTTATACCGCGGTCGGATAGTACGATAAAGTTAGACCAATAATTTCGGTAATTTAAACTCTGTATTTCTCACGCAGTTCTGTTATCACATGTAGTCTGGCAAGTATCTTCATATCCGCTCGGAAACGTATGACTTTTTACATAATTTTATTATCCGCCTTAACGTACCTTCATGTACGTAAAAATTGTTTGAACAATATTTTTAAACAATTTTCACATATGTTTCCTTCCAGTAGAGGGGCGACCACCAGCTGCAACCTTCTCGCGCTCATGCAGAATATACAATGGAAGCGCGCTTGATTAAAAAATAAAAATGGCTTTCAACAACAGTACTCCCAAAAATGCTTCAAAATTTTGTTAATGGATGTTTGACCTATATCTGCGAACTTTGGCAACACTACATGTTTGTTTTTACTCCTCATGCCTACTAGCAAGGAAGTATTGTAATTGCAAAAAAATCTAAAATGAGATATAATGTTTTTGGATGTTATATGACAAGTACATCATGACAAACTATGTTCATCATGTTCGTATTTGGATGAAATTTTCACGCAAGGACGAAAGAGCTTTGTGGTTTTTCAGAATGTGACCAGTGGCGGTAGAAGCTACGGCAAAATACGAAAAAATATAAGTCGACTAAACTTCATTTTTTACATTCCAGATCTTTTTTAGAAAAAAAAATTGTAGGGATTCACTTCGAAGCACTTTTTTGCTATTGCCAGCTTGCTGGCTCGCCCTCTATATTTAACCATTGTTGTATATCATGGATTCGTTTTCAGTACAGCATTGACATTTTAACAAAATTCATTTGAGCAGTTTGAACAGAATTCGTGTGGTCTAATATCAACTACAATGGATGACCTGAACATAGACGCCTGACAAGACAGAAGAATGGTATATCCACATAAGTAGGACGGGAGGAAACAGACTAGGAAGAACAGTGAGAGACAAATCACCAAACGGCCAAAGGAGTACAGGGAGGCCAAGAAAAAGATAGAGTTCCAACCTAGATATGAAGAGGCATCCGAAGATAAAATAGAGGCAACGCTATTAAAGAAGAAGGAAGAAGTAGGAGAGAGCAACAGATTACCAGCTGTTTACTGAATAAGTATGTAAGACTACGAAACTAATATTAAGCCTTGTTGAGGTCTTTATCGAGAAGCGTAACTCTATGTTACATGAGGCTGGATAACTTTCTCTACCCCTTCAGGGTTTATATTTAGGAATATTAAATATTTACAAAAATGGTGAAATGAAACAATGGAGATCTTTATTGTTAATATGTTAAATTTTCTGCTGTTACAGAGGTACAGAGTTAACCTTGTAACGTCAACGCCATCTCAGAAGCTTTATAACGCCCTACACAATGGTAGACGAGTATTATTTTGTAGTCAAACCGATCTTCAATATTCCCCTACCTTATACTAGAATAGTAATGATATATTTCCGTTGTTGATACTAATCGTTAGCAAAGTCTAACTTGACCGAACTAGATGGAGACCAATAAAACCTGTGGGAGTTCTCTCATTATAAATCGTTAAACATTGTTTAATAAGCGTTAATAGCAAGTGAGAATGATGTTTGCTTATATTTATGACTGATAATTAATTGTGTTGTAAGGAGAGGTTAAGAAAATGTTCAGAAAGTGCGGCACTTTACCAACGGATGGTTATGAATATTACTTTCCCATAAGCTTCACTTATTTGCATCGTTTACGTGTGAATCTGAAGAAATGTCGGTTACAGCCATCATGATGTTAAACTAATTATGATCACTTTTTCTATTTAGTAATATAAAACGAAGATAGATGTACGAGTAGTTTTATAATAACAAAATGACATATCGGGAGCGTTCAGCTAAAGTAAAGCTGTCTAGTAGTGCAACGCTTTCAAGCTGAATAGCAGTAGCCATGGAATTACTTTGTCAGTTTGACAGCCGTTTTTACCTAGCTGTCAGATGTGATAGTATGGTATGTTGATTAATGTTGCGAACTGTCAAAGCTGTTCTACTGCTACTGCAATTTAGTATAAAAACGCTGCACCTCTGACCCCTCCCAATATCATTGAAATCAGAATTTTAAATTCTGCCTATACATATACCTTCAAATATGTTAACCGCTACACTGCCATTCAAAAAGCCCCCCTCCCAGTCATTTTTTTAACAATTCCAGTTAGTATGCTGAAATTTTGGATGATAAAATTTATTTGTGAATGCCGTATTTTATCTGTCAGTTGATGGTTTCAAGATGGCGACTAGACGCCATTTTTGAACATTTTTCTCAAAATAATAAGTAATCGTATGTTACCTCATTTTGAAGCTCCTTATGGGTACTTTGTAACCCTAGACTATGAAATCACTGTCTTTCAAAATAATGAAGCACAATCTGTCAAAGTTGAAAGTTTGTATACATTGAATCGCTTATAAATCAACAATGGACACAATTTAAGGTCATATAAATAATTACATGTAAAATCCTCGGATATTATAGACCCGCTTAAAATAGACCCTCGCTTATAGCCGACTATTTTAATCCATTATATGCAAGCTATTTTGGTAGTTACCCGAAGTAGATTTAGCTGATGCAATCGATTACGGCGGCTTGGCTTCGCAGTTTGCATTCGAACTTGACCACCAGTCTTATACTGTATTTATTAGAGTTATAAACATGTTGAAAAGTGCGAAACGTGCATTCACTTTACACAAAAAGTTCACAATAAATAGTGAGCTTGAGCAGGGTCTATCTCAACCAAATATACAGGTATGTGCCCGTATGGCTATAAAAAATCCACTGTGTCAAATATTTGGAAAAACCGTGACAAAATTAAAAATGACTGAAAATCGAATAATCAAAAGAAAAAATGTGGCTATCGCTGCATCCCCAAGTCGATGATATGCTGTTTAAATGGTTTCAACAAAAGCGTCTGATAATTTTCCAATAAGAGGACCTATGCTACAAATAAAGGCTGAAGAATTTGGGAAATTGATTGGAGATTACTTCAAATGTAGTTCCGGTTGGCTAGACAGGCTTAAGAAAAGACATAACATTGTTTTTGGAAAAATGTATGGTGAGTCAGCTTTAGTTGACAAGAACGTTACCAATGACTGGATTTCTCAAGTTTGGCCCGTAAAATATAGAAATTCATGTTTTAATTTTTTTGATATTCAAGTGCTGCAAAGAATTTATGACCTTTTTTTTATTTCAGAGAAATTTAAGAATCCCATATTTCAAAAATCTTAAAACAATTTCCGTCGATTATGTTGGAAATAATAAGGCTTGGATGACTTCATCAATTTTTGAAGAATATTTAAAAAAGTGAGACGCTGAACTTGTTAAGAAAAATCGTAAAATTTTGCTCTTGTTCGATAACTGCCCCACTCATCCAAATATTTCACTTATTAACATCAGCCTTCAAATTTTTCCACCATATGTGACATCAGTTCTGCAACCAATGGATCAGCGTGTCATTTGGAGTCTTAAACAATGTATCGGAAACATATGTTGGTGAAAATTATGGAGCTTCAAGAAGATGTCATCATTTTAGATGCTATAAATTTGCTTACTATTACGTGGAAATTGGTAACTCCAGAAACGATTCGTAATTGTTTTTGCCATGATAGTTTAGTGAAAAACATAATTGAAATAGTCAACGATTTTAATCCAGAAGATCAAATTCCATTAAGTGATTTGCTGAAAATTAATAGTTTACAGAATATAGACAACTTTAATGAGTATGTAGATGTTCACAATCATTTAATAGCAACACAGGAATTGTGAGACTCCAATTTGGTTAATGAAGGATCTGTTAATAACGAACAGGAAGACGAACTAGAAAACAACGATGAAGAAGAGCTTCGAGTGGCAACTAAGGAGGCATTAGACTACTTGAAGAAGTTGCAACCTTATTTTCAGCAAGAAGAAGACAAGCCACACTTACCAAGTTAAATAAAATTCAACTTGCTGTTCTAAATAATTATACAAAAGAACAATCTGTTCAAATGAAAATTACTAGCTTTTTTACTAAATAGTTTACGGTTTTTACACAGTACGTATGCCTGTAATATGTGTATCAGACTCTGAAAAAATGCAAATTTCAAAATTACGTATAACTTTTTTGTATGTATCTTTCTTTATGTAATTCATGTTAAACAAACAAATTTTAAGCTTTTAATATGTTATTTTTGCTACTTTTTCATTAAAAAAAGTGTTTCTTTTGAGATGATCATCCGCTTATAATAGACTATTTGTCACAGTCCCGCCGAGTCCATTATAAGCGGGTTGCTTCTATTGCAGGACCTAGTACAACATGTACTAAAATTTAAAATTTAAAGGAATAATCAAAATTTGTCAATTTTCGAAAAGAAGTATTCCATATTTTACTGCACTTCTAGACAGATCTAAAAATGTTTCAGGACATGCATAAGTTGCATAAGCCTCTTCTGATAGCCCCTGATAGAAACTTCGTGTTGAAACTAAGCATCTATGAAAGTATACTCTCTCTAGTTGTCGGTGTACGTAGTTCGACAGAGTTAGGGTGGGACGCAGAAGTCTGGCGGGTCCATCTAGCAGGCTCAACGCGCGGCGGCTCGTTGACATAGCAGTAGAAGAGGGCAAGATCGCCGACCGCCCGTCGATGCCAAAAGGTTCCAAGACTGTTAATTATAAGGGTATCGATGGGTCCAACAGCCTTGCTTTGAACAGTATCTAGTACGTACAATATAGTCGCGGCGGCAGCACTCCAAACATGTGAACAGTACACAAGGCTAGGTCTTATTTGAGCCTTGTATATAGTGAGGAGGTGATGAAGAGAAAATTACTTCTTACCCATAAACAACTAAACCTTCTTTTTCACATCGCTGTTGCAATGAACGTGCCAAATCAAGTCATCAGTGATCTTGACTCCGACCAGCCGGAATGTATGGCTCTGCCACCCATCCAAACTAAATGGAGGCTATAGCATTTCTTGTCTTGATTGATGAACAATACCGACACTAAACAAAGCTGCAGTGGCGTTGAGCCCGATCTGAAATCCTTGATAATTCTCCTGTCGCTTCCTTGTGTCAAGAGTGTCAAGCTGATAAGACATCTTCATAATAAAATGTTAATTTCTTAAATGTTTTCAGATGCATTATTTTTTGCTACCTGTAAGCGATTAAGTCTATTGCATGATAGCATTGGAGCATAACGTTCTGTTATGGGGCATCTACTGCCCGTAACCCATAAATACAAATTTGACGTTTCTCGCGAGTAAGGAAGGCCACTCTTTCACCTCCACTGAAGACGCTGTCATGATTCCAAAGATGTTCAAATCTTCTAGAGTGTTATATCATCATGACGCAGATGCAATAAATAAAGAATTAGCATAATAGTGTTCACCATTTCAACAAAACAAGGAAACTTGAAAAAGACTTCCTGGTGACATCATTGGAATCTTTTGGAAGTTTGATTCTTTAAGTAAGATGAGAAATATATGTCACAGCTCGATGTTAGGATGGTTTAAGATAGCTGGTAGCAAGAACTGGGGTAACCAGCATCGCTTCCATTTCTATATTTTGTTGATCTGGATGACTTTATTACACTATTGGATTCTTGGACAGAGTTTCACCAAACTGTATATTTTTCCATGCCTTGAATGCCTAATACACGGGTTGGCGAATTTGTTTAATGCTTTACATTAATATCAACTCCAAAAGATTATATTTTTTTAGAGCTTTCGTGGTTTTCATTTATCATGCGATATTTACAAAAAGTATTTTTCAATTCGGTCTTCAAACCTAACTGGAATTAGTACATTGAAAAAGAACTCCTTTAAATTCTTTATATTTCATTACGTGATTATAGATTTCATGCCAAACAGCAACCATTATTATTAAGCCCATTCATTTAAGAAGAGGTGTTATTTCTCTCGTTAGGTAAATAATGATAATGAAAAAATGTAGAACTTTTTTGGCCTGTTGGGCACACAGGTCTTACAACTATTAAGATATTAAGCTCTTTATCCTTTGACTTGAATTTACTTCTTTGATTAATTTAAGACTTTTGAGGTCCTAAACTAGTTGATAAACTGAGTTTTTGAAAATGAGGGAATAAATAATAGCCAGTAGTG